ACAATAAACAACTAAACCTCTGCTCTACTCTTCGAGGTGATGGACAAAAAAATCTGCATAGGCTTAAAGTTTTATAAGGGCTTACGTTAATTCTCGGACTCTGCAGTCGGAAGAGAACTGCGTTTTGTCTTTTTCCCATGAACTGAGGTTTATTTTTATGAAAAAAAAACACTCTTGGTTTGACCTGGAGGTTTCCTTTCCTTCTGTGTTGAATACCAGACGAGGTCGTCCCTAGAGGTCTTCAAGGACTGCCACTTTGAGACCTCATGTGGGTCTTCTAGGTAGTAATGGCAAGATCCTAGTGTAATGCGAAATACTGACATTATTACGTATTTGCATAAAAAGGCTAGCGAGGAGTCACGCCTGCTGATTACTGTGCACCACAGTGCTATGGCGGTGAACTGCAGTTCACATTTCGAATTCCAACCAAGCGCACACGTAAAGTCACGCGTTGCAAGGATCTGAGGAGGTCAAAAAGTGTAATACAACAGCAGAAGTGAAGTAAAAGCAATGCAACTCGAAAACTTAAATAAGATTAGTAGTTGCAGTGCCGCACGTGTTCCGTAAAAAAAAGGAAATGCAATGTTTCATTCGTTTTTTTTGTTCTGCATGTTTAATTTAATTTTGTCTTTTGTAGGGCCACCTGAAACTGAGTGACTTTGGCCTCTGCACGGGTCTGAAGAAGGCCCACCGCACCGACTTCTATAAGAATCTCTCCCAGGCTGTGCCGAGCGATTTCGGTAAGCGTTCCTTTTGTGTTAACTTTTCCGCCCTTGGTCGGCTCCTAAATCAGCACTGTAAGTGCCGTTTGCAGACCCTATGCCCGTTTTAGCGAATGGCCAACTGGGCATCTTTGCCACGTTCACGCACACAGAGCGAGAGAGAGCGAACGTAAATCCTCTTATTTAAATTTGGTGCTTGGAAGATAGACATTTTTTGGACGTTGGCGTGTTTCCCGAGTCCTGTGTTATTTTAATTTCAGCATATTATGGTTTTTATCTTTTTGGCTTCTAAGTTACGCATTGTGCATCTTCCACGCATTGAATGAACGCATATATTCCATTAGGGCATTGGGAGGAGATGCTGCCTGGCGATCCTTTGCAATCTGGGTAGACTCCAAAAGTAGTATCCACAGACTTGTGGATACTATACTACCCGAATAATCGTTTCATTTTCATTAAAGGGTTCCCTTATTGCAAACTTTCTAATACTGATAAATTCGTCATTCAAAGAAAAAAGTTAAGTAAGGTCAACTTTTTGTACTAAACTGGGGGCAAAAATGAATTTTCAGTATATGCCTTTTTTGCAGGCACCGAAGATCCTTGTAAAAATTAGCATCTTGGGAGTTGTCGTTTTGACTCAGTATGTCATTAACGTGTGCCTGAAAATATA